TCAATCTACAAATTCAGCAATACCAAAAACTCTCAACATTTTTGATACCTATTGAAGAAAACCCAGTACAGACTACGTTCTTCATCATAATGGGATTCCTTACTGTAGTAGTCATCACTTATGGTATGGTACACCTCTGCCGATACCACGAAAATAGAAAAATGCTTCGCGATTCTGAACGCTACTTATCATGCTGGCTGTGTGATGGTATTTGCCATTTGAAATGTGCTGGTATGACATGAAGAATTCTGGACGATATTAATGATGGCAAGGGCCTTCGCTGGTCTTGCGTAAAGTGCAGGTCAACCGAAGTTGATCTTTTCAAGCTATTTAGGCAAACCAGAAATGGTTTTACAGAAATAGGAAGAGAATTGTCTGTACTGACAGAACAATTTAAGCATTATGAAAATGTGTTTAAATCATTCAAATGCTTAGATACCTTGCAATCTATTAAGGATATCCGTGGGTCTAAACGTAAGCGTCTTCATAGTCCATCTAAGGAAATTATTGCCGGTGCACGTCAGAATAATCTTCCGACTGACTTAATTAATCTATCTTCTCCATGTCCTCCAGCATCAGAATTCTCAGCCTCAAAAGAGCGTGTAACAAAATCCGATTCGGATAATAACGAGCCTGAAGTATCTTCTCCTTCCCCCATTGAAGTGGTAGCATCATCTTCAAAGCCTCCACCGCCTTCCCTATCTTCAACTATTAACGCAGTAACTCAACCCCTTCCACTGGTACTCCAGTCTGATACAAGGAAACTAGTTGTGGTTCCGCCAAAGAAGTCAATCTTTGTCTCTAGATTTTGGAGAGACACTACCGAAGACGAAATAAAGCTTTATATCTCATCAAAAATTACAACTGTCGACCTAAGCATCAGAAAATTTAATTTTAAATACGAAATAAATATTGCTTCATTTAAAATTGACGTAAATTTAGATAATTTTAATGCGCTGCTTAGTAGTTCTTTTTGGAGTTTTCGTTCGTGAATTCGAATATAGGCCCAAAAAAGGAAATAACTTAGCTAATATTCCCCGTCATAACACTGACTCAAAAAACTAATTATTAATTTTTATATATTTTTTTGATTCAGTGTTATGAGGGGGAAAAAAACTAATTATTAAACGATCTCACGATGGTCGGTTCCACGTTCACACACCCCCGAATACACAATTTTTTCATCATCGGAGCAGC